GGGTTACATAAGCTTCAGGTTACATACGCTTCAGGTTACATACGCTTCAGGTTACATACGCTTCAGGTTACAGACTCCACTAACCCAGAAACAGTGCTTCAGGTTAAGAACTTTGCTTCAGGATGAGAACAGAAATCGTGCTTCAGCGGCGCGGCAGCAGCAGGAGGCCCCATTAGCTAAAGTGGTGCTTCAGGTTAAGAACAGTTTCAGGTTAAGTATGGACCTCCGGAACGAATTAAGTACTTAACCCGGGGTACCACTGTATACATTTTTAAAATAATGGCAAGAGTGGTTCTCTCCTGATCCCCACCACTCTCTTAACCTCACAACAAATCTGTGAGATTGTTTAGGTTTAGGATTAAAGGCCATAGCTCAACAACAGATCTCCTGCTTTGCAGGCAACAGATCTTGGGGTAGAGCTGGAAAATATTCCTCTCAAAAATCCTGGAGAGCCACTGCCAGTCAGTGTAGAAAATATGGAATTATATCAGCATCCTTCAGCCTTGGGTCCCCAGATGCTGTCTGACTCCCACCATCCCATTGGCTATGATGGTTGGGGGATGAGGGGAGTTACAGTCCAACATCTGGAGACCCATGGTTGACGAACACTGAGCTATATGGGCAAATGGTATACGGAAACTTCCTGTATCCTATTACTGACATAAGGCCACCCAATGAGATTCATGACTAGTAGAGGGAATTTAAACCCATGACTCTCTGTTTCAGTCAAGCATGCTACTGACTGCACCATACCAGCACCCTGTCCTATAATTTGGCACACATATTCTCTTAATGCACACATAAGCCACATACCCTATCCAGCCGATATACCTGTAACCTGCCACATTACGGAGAATGTAGACATTCTGACCATATTGAGAGGCTGTACATCTGGTTTTAGTAATTTTCCTCACATTTGGAATGTGGCCTCTCTTTTCAACATGTGGTAATTTAAACACAACTATAGTTGGAGCTGTGGGTAATTGAAAAGGAGAGGCTCCATATTTTAGATGGCAATTGTTCCGGCTCCCATAAAAAAACATGTAATGCAGGGACATCGGGTCCTTACCGTGTTTTACACAATTATGGAAGGGTGTGTTCATACTCAGTAACACCAGCTTCAGCTTAGGAATCTGCAGGGGATCAAGGTTCAAGTTGCCTTCCATGAATTTTTATACAATAATAGCTAAACTGCTAGGTAAACGAGGCTTGCTGGATTGATTCCAACTAAGGCTGCAGTCCTTACCCCACCTACTTGGGAGTAAGTCATATTGAATTCAATGGAACTGACTTCTGAGTAGATCTGGCAAGGACCGCAGGCTAAGTCATACTTGGAGTAGACCCATTGAAATCAATGGGCTTAAATTAGTCAAGTCTATTGATTTCAGTGTGTTTTCAATTACAGCTTGGATACATCTTGAGGAAAGGTAATCCTCTCGGTTTACAAACAAAACAACATGGCTATTACAGCATTTGCTAAATCTCAGAATATAACATGCAAGTTCTGAAATGTATGGATTAGAGAACTGCACCTGCAGCTTCTAGCACAGGGGTCAGCAAATTTTTTCAGCAGGGGGCCGGTCCACTGTCCCTCAAACCTTGTGGGGGGCCGGACTATATTTTGGGGGGGAAATGAATGAATTCCTATGCCCCACAAATAACCCAGAGATGCATTTTAAATAAAAGCACACATTCTACTCATGTAAGAACACCAGGCAGGGCCCACAAATAACCCAGAGATGCATTTTAAATAAAAGGACACATTCTACTCTGTAAAAACACGCTGATTCCTGGACCGTCCTTGGGCCGGATTTAGAAGGCGATTGGGCCGGATCTGGCCCCCAGGCCTTAGTTTGCCTACCCATGTTCTAGCAGCTAGCTCACAGAAGAAATTGCCTAATAGTCATTCTTACTCTTACAGTTGGCAAACAGGAAGAAGGTTATAGAGGAAGTGTTGTTACTACATTCCACCAAGTTCCTCCCTGGAAACAATTTGAGCCTTAATGACCAAGAGTTTATTTGTTATACAGTAACAAATTGCAATTAAAATCAAAGCAAGATTTCTAAATATAGCACATGAAAACTTAAATGGTTTCAGATGTAGCCAAGAGTAACTCTTTAACTTTCAAACATTAGGGAAGTGTGAATATTCTGAATCCTGTGACTGGTGTTTTGGTTTTCTATATAGTGGATGCAATCCAAAGACCTGCACAACTAGTTCTGTAATCCAAGGAACTGTTAAACATGCTTTTAAAAAACACAGGAACCTAGTAAGAGCCCTACTGGATCAGTTCAATGTCCATTTAATCTAGCAATCTGTTCACAGTGGCCAACCAGATTCAGGACACAAGTACAATTTCATTAATAGCTGCTCCCCACCTGCAGTGCTGCATGGCAAACATTTTGAAACTTACAAGAATTTCAAAACACCATGGAATATGGCCAAGAGAGAAGGAGAGTTATTGAAAGGAAAAAGTAAGCCAATTCCATTGGGAATGAGCAAATCCTTATTTATTACTAAGTAGCTCTTTGACTCTTCTCAAATGCCCATTAAAAGTCATCCTTTAAAAAATGGTTTTCAACTATGACATTTTTTATTTAGAATCAAGAAAAGAAATGTCTTACCTGTAAAATATTGCAGGACTTTGAAAGGTGGTACTTGCGTGCCTGAAGAAATTTTCTGTCACAAATAGAATGGGTTCTTTCCCTTGTGTATGTATAGAGGTTTTTCACTTAAATCACCTTATTCTGTTGGGATGGAATGACATGCAAACATAACGTCGGATAAATCTTATTAAGCACACAGTACCACTTATTTCTTTCTTTGCACACCCATGCCTCCATTGCCACCCATTGTTGTTTTCTGTATCTGTTTTAGATTGCAAGCCCCTTGGGGCAGAGACCTATCATACATTTTGTTTGTAATCACTAAGCTCACATGTGACACTAATATGTTTATCTTCTGGCAACTAGCCAACATGCACCCATTTCTTCCAGCTCATGTTCATTTTCTGGCTACTGATTTTCATCTCATTTTCTCTCTCTTTACACAGAGCAGTTCTTATGGTACAGTGTAATATTTCAGCTCAGCTGATGACAGCTACAGAAATGAACAACATTCAATGTATTTTAGAGCTGCTCAGTTATCTGTAATGCACTTTGAATTAAGGCATAAAGCCTGTCAGTGGATTTGTGTAAAGGAAGTATTAATAGTTTAAGAATGTTTACTTTACGGAGCCTTAATGACCAATGACTAGATGTTGCAGTGGTGAGAGAACAAATAGAAACAAAACAAGCTGTATGTAATCCCCTGCATGTTTACTTGTGAGTAAGACCTACTGAAATAAATAGGATCAGACTGCACACCAACCCCCACAGATGCCTGCTTCATCATCCCCCTAGCCTAGGCATATTCTTCCAGTGTCTGAATGCTTTTTCAAGATTTGATCAGCCAAAATTAAGCATTTATAAGGTCCACTGATCTCACTGGCAGAGTTAAGCACATGCTCACATATGTCCAAGTGAAACTTAATATGTGGCTGGGTCATGCCCATAGTTAGGATGCATTTCTCAGGGGTTTCTTTCATTAATTCTTTCCCTCTTCTCCTGTGATACTGAAATAAACATTTCTTCATAACGAAAAAATTGCGTGCATGCAGTGCTTCTGTGCAGGAACCAGAAGCTAAGTGGTACTCTGATGAAATACAAAACAGGAAGTAGTAAAAATCACCTAGCTCAGGGGTAGGCAGAAGTAGATCAGGTTCAACTTGCAGATTTACTTTGCAGTAGATCAGGAAGGGTGTTTGGTTCCCAATTGTTCAACAACAGAAACTACAATATTACCTTTCCCATCTGTATTAGCAGTGCTTTTTTGACTCAAGAAAATCACCATTTTATAGTTCAGCTTGGGAGAAATAAATACAGTAGATGGACAAAAGTACAAAGATTCGCAAAATGTTTAGGGGTATGTGTACCCCCAGAAAAAAGCACTGTGTATTAGGCTGTTGTAATCATCATCAGGAATCGAACTGTGTGAAAAAGCAAAAGAAGAGTCTGGCTGGATTGCAGGCCCATCACATTTAGCATTCTGGTCTCATAGTTGCCAACCAGATGCCTATGGGAAGTCTGAAAGCAGGACCTGAGCAGAACAACACTGTCCCCACTCTGCTATTCAGAGGCACACTGCCTGACAGCAAAGGAAGAACACAAAACATATCAAGTAGCCATTGGTAGCCTTTGGCTGCATGAACCCCCTTACATTTAAAGCACATCCCCTCCACCTCTTGGGAACTGTAGTTTGTTAAGGGTGCTGGGAACTGTAGCACTGTAAAGGGTAAACGCTTTTAATGTGCTTTAAGTATATGCAGCATCCACGAATTTGTCCAATCCTCTTTCAAAACTACTCAAATTGTTGGCCAGTGTTACATCCTGTATTCCGCTACTGGAAGCAAGTTATATGGGGCAAAACGTGCTCAGAGGCTATGCATTCCAATTGTACCGTCTTTTGGTAAATAGGCAAGGTATGTCTTTCACACCTGGCTTCAGTGTGCAGCTTTGGGGATTCTCGTGGGGGGGGGGAGCAGATCCAACAATGCTGAAGGCTGCCCACCCCTTTTGCAAGACAAGCTTCTGGAGTGTGAAGATCAAACAGAAAACACAGTGTGTGTGTATCTATATATCTAGGTATCTCTATTTCTCTCCTTCTCCCGCCCCCAATAATCTTCTTGATGCGAGTTACAATACCTAACAGAGGAGTTTACCGGGCAACGTTCACAAAATGAAACATGCATGTACTTATTTTTTAACGGGCGGAGTGCAAAAAGGAGAAACCAGTATTTTTGTGGACCCTCTCCCTAAAAACCGTCCGCGCCCGAGCACTAAAAGTCAAGTAACATCCCAGCCAAGGAAGATCACTTTCAGAAAGCCTCGTCTGTACAGAGCTGCATGTTTCCTACAGAAACCCAGGTATGCGCCCCGCCCCGCAGCCCAGCAATGCCTGAATGAATCCATTCTGTCCATATATCTATGGAGGGGCACTTCAGGAATTCACACGCATCTCCTCTGTGGGCGAGGATGCTTTTTTTCGCCTTGAAGAGAGAGAGACAGAGAGAGACAGGCTTCGTGCACGGCAGGAAAAGCAGCGACACCGCAGCCCGGGGCTTCCTCTAAGAGTCGGGGTTTTTTTAAAAAAAAATTCTTATTTTTTCACCGACTTCCTTCCTGCTTTTTTAAACTGCCCAAGCTCGAAGCTGAGCGCAGAGCTCCGGACAGAGACGCCCCTCGCCGCCGCCGGTACGTGAGTCCGCCTTCTCGCAGGGGGGCGGGCGGAGGGACACCCACCCACCCGCTTGCCTTGCCCGCGCTTCCAGCCTCCTCCGGGAGACTTAATCCACAACCGGGAAAAGGCGGCCGGGAGAGCGGAGCGCGGCTCCCGCGCCAAAAGGGGAAGAAGCGCGCCTTGCTCTGCAATGCAGCAGGGCGCGCAGGCCGTATCCCGGGGGCGGAGGAAGGGGTCCGCTTGGGAAACGTGGCGGGAAGCGCCCCTCCGGATTCTGCCCCTTCGGGAAACCTGCCCGGGGGTGGCCGAGTTTGGGCAGGCGAGGCTGAGGGACGTTTCTCGCCTTGGTGCATTTCTCCGTGGAAAATTCCACCCCACTTCCTGTGCCAGAGCTCGCCCGTCATTCACATGAACTCTGGAGGCCTGGATGCTCAGTTCATTATTTTTAGATTTGGGTCGCTGCATATTTTAAGGAGCGCGGGGCCCAGCGGCTCAGGGACTCGTTAAGGAAAGGAGAGAGTCGCTGCTTGACTTGCTTCTTCCTCCAACGGGCTTCCTGTGAGAATTCAGACAGTTGCTGCTGCAAAGAATAAGGGTGTCTCTGCCTTTTTTTTTTTTTATGGCGTTGAGTTTTAGTCAGGTTGGGGCTTCCAGACAGGCAATTTTTTGGGGGTTGGATTCAGTTACTGGCAAATTGAGGTTGCACATTGATAGTGGGTTGGAAGATCTTGCACAACAAAACCTACTTCCGCAAAAGGCCAGTAAGGAAAAGGGTGGGAAGGTGACATTTTGCTTTGACCTAACCTCCCTGGAAACAGGTTGGAACGTTTGCTCATTAGGTAGCCAATGTTGTCTTCTTGCAAACCGATCAGGATGTCTTATCAATAAACAGGTCATCTGGAAGCAACAAGGGAAGTATTGAGCCCGGTCAGTTCTACAAGAACAGGTGTATGGGTTCTGTGCTCACTGAGAAAATCTTTCCTAGGGTTCTTTCTGTGTTCCTTACTCCATACTAAAACACAGAGTTTTCCTGCATAGGCAGGAAAGACAACATATAGCTTTATTCTTCGATTGGAAATACTTAGATAAAAGAATCATTAATCCTTCCTCTAGCTAGATTGGGCCCCCAATGAGAGTATGGGAGTAGTCCAAACTAAAGACTAAACAAGTTTTTTTAATTTAAAAAAACCTCGCCCAAAGGCCAGCAAGATATTGGGAGAGGAGTGAATGAGTTTCATCATGGGGTGTCTCAGCTGAAAAGGCCCTGTCTTACTTCTTATTTGGATGAGCCCCTAAAGGCAATAGAACATAGGGCAAGGCCTCCAGTGGCAACCACAATGTGCCAAATAACCTGGTCCTAATGCCCATTTAGGGCTTTATAGGTAACAAGTAGCATTTTGAATTGTTTACAGAAATGAAATTGGCAACCAGTGCACATTGAACAACAGAGAAATATGCTCTTGTTGCCTTCAATCACCTTCAAGGAGTTCTGAAACTCCTACGATGTGCAACCCTTTGCAAATAATCAAGTCAAGGGTGATCTCCAAACCCAGCATGGAAAACGTGTGCCCACCAGCCAGTGTCTTAGCTCCAGATGAGTCCCAAATTTTCCCTGTTGATACCCTTATTGGGCCTGAATTGCCGTAGTTCAGAACCATTAGCTGGTCTCAGATAATAAATTTTGCTCATCCTGTCCCCAGTGCATTGCTGGTTTCTGCACAGGACCCCCTCCTTGCTTAATACTTGGCCTGCAGAAGGTATGAACTTCCACACAGAAATCACTTACTGAGTCGCAGAAAGACTGAGCTCCTAAACCCTGTTTGCTTTCCTTATGGTAATACCGCTCCCCCTTTAAAATTAGCAAAGCTACTGCTGATCAAAGAAGGCTCTTCCTCCTGCCATTTAGTGAGCTGGGGTAACCTCAGAGCCTCTGGCTTGGAAGATTAAGTCACTTAATTTCTACTTTCTTCTAAAGTTGGTTTGCATAGGATTCCCCCTATCCTATCCCACCTTACATATAATCTGTTGATTTGCTGGACCTACAGCCTGGCTCTTCCCCCATTCATAGAACAGCGGTTTATGCTAGGATAACTGGAAACCACCTTGAGGCAACTGTCTTATGTGAATACATTGCATTTTCAAGATTACCTCTTCCTTTCCGCCATCTTTTGTGGTCACAGTCAGGGTGGTGAAAGCAGCAAAAGTGTATTTCCACCATGATAGGTCTTTTCTCTCCTTTGCCTTTAGCAACTGCACAACAGGCAGAAATCCAGCAAGTGAAGCCTCCTCTATCCCTCTCTATCTGCATGTAAAGAAAGGCTTTACCTCCTGAATTGCAGTTGTTAAAAAGCCCCAGATCCCCACCAGGAAGCAAACAAATAGCCTTGGCAATCCTATTTAATATATGGGTTTGGATAAATTGGAAATTTAAGTCTCTATGTTAGCAACTGTGAGTATGTAGAACAAGAGGATGGAAGTTATTAGAGACTGAGAAAACTCTTCGTGCTGTGTTTGCACCTACCCTTTCTGATATACTTACCCCACCTGTAAATGGGGTGTGGTGGGTAGTTGTGCTTACTTCAGCTGCTATGCTTTTAGGATGAATGCAGTAATTGCCTTATGGATACTTACAACTGACAAATGAAATAGCAAAGGGGTACAGCAGCACAGCAGGGACCTACTTCTTTGCCCATAGAACAACCAATTATACAGCAAAGGAAAGAGTAACGAGGACTTTTTGTACCAGTTTTGTTGTGCCCCAGTGCTGCTGCTTTAATCTGGATATCTGACTTAAGGGAGTACAGAAATTTCCTTCCTTCTGAGAAATTGCTACTCGTAGTGATCGCTTAAACCCTCTTCCTGCTCTTAAAACTGGTGCTTGCTTTTTATAGCAACAGCCCAGGAATTCTAATGCTTTTGTTTCTTCTCTGGAAATGCTGAAGTACTGCGGTACTATGGAAACAATTTGAAATCTAGGGTGTCAACAAAGAAGAGCTATAGGAGATGGGCAGTAGATACAGAGAGTGAAAGAACTGGTGAGGCGAGCAGACAGGGAGGGAGGGAGCAATCTTTATTTTTGCTTGCCTTGTTTTTTTTTAAAGGCCATTTTTGTTAGAAAAAGAGAAGGCAGACAGTAAACTACATGGATCCTTTCTACAGAAGCCCTCTAAGCTACATGAAGTATGAGCCCATGTTTGTGGCCTGTACGTATACTTTTGCAACGTCCCACATTAAAAGCACTGTTTGTTAGCCCCAGGCTTCTGTTCTTTTCCTGAGACTATCTGGGCTCTACCTGCTTTCTTTAGACTATTGCTGTTTTTAATCTACTCTGATGTGCAATGGACCTTTGGAATCTATGCTATGCTGTGCATCCTCCCCTTCATTCCTCTTTCCACTAGAAAGTCTTTTCCTGTTCTATTGAAGTGTCAGCAGTCCAAATTCATGTTAGTAGATGGTCATCATGTGCCACAGCAGTGCTGTTTGGAAAGAAACCATTTGTCTTCTTACCGTAACTCCTAGTTGAGGTGGAGCTGAAGGAACAGAGTAAATGTAGTTGGGTAATTTGAGTATGTTGAATCTGGAAATTGCTGTTCCTGAGCTGATTTGTCAACTGGAAACCTGGAATTCAAGGTGGAACCCATACTGGTGTATTGAACTAATACTTCCTGCTTCTATAGCTGGTGGTGCCTGAAGGAAGCAATTAACTGAATTGGGACTTTCAAGTACCTACAAATCAACCAAATATGTACCCAAAGTATCTGACACAGTATTTATTCTTGCTGGCCATATAGTGCTATGAAAGCGTATTCATTCTTTGAAACTGGGTTTCTTCTGTGAATTGTTTGGGTTTTCATGATATGATATTTGGTATTTGGTTCTTTTCATTTTTTGATGTATTCATTTATTTCACAGCGGAAGTGGTTTCATAGTCATCCCCTTCCCCCTAGACTCATCGGAGCTGTAGTTTTATAAAGGTGCTGTGTGCAATTTACTGTAGTCTTACACTTTGATAGTTCTGCATTCCCATTCATGCAAATATATCTCAACGTTTGATTTGCATTCAAGCAGCTGCCTCTTGACATTCAGAACTGCTTGAGGTCCACGTGGGAAGCTGTTTGTGTGTGGCCACTGGGCTTGGGCATCATGGCACAGCAGACTGGTTTTTTTGGAAGCTTGTGGTGATGTGGTGTTATTATTTGCATTGCAAAGCTGAGAGGCGGCACATGGCTTGCCCACACAGAACAGCCTCAGCAAGATTTCAATTTTTGTTGTCCACCACATTGCAGCTTATTTGTCTGAATGAGGCGTATAAACTACTCTTATCTCTGTCTTCCCGGTAGCACATGCAGTCTTGTTTCGCTGCTGGCTAAGTATATTTGGCACCTCTCCTTTTTTGGATTAAAAAAGTCTGGTTAGGAATGATGTATGTATCACATGTAATTTTAAAAGCCACAGGTATACACACTATACCTTAAAAGCACATTCTTTCTCTCAGAGAATTCTGGAAATTGTAGTTTATGCCTCTCAGTAGCGAATTTCCCACCATTCCTTAGCAAACTACAGTGCCCAGAATTCTTTGAGAGAAAGAATGTGCTTTGAATGCAATTTAAAGATATAGTGTGTGTGTACATAGGCACAGTGTGTGCAGTTCAGGAATGTGGAGCTAGTGGCCTTCCAGAAATCAGCATGGCCAAGGGTCAGGGATGGCTGTTGTTCAACAACATAAGGAGGGGCGCAGGTTCCATATCCCTAGGGAAGACTTAGTTCCCATCTTTTTGGACACAGCACATGGGAGCTAACTGAGCATTCTAAGCTCCCAACCTAGCATACTAGAAGGGGTTTGGATGGGGCAGAATGGAGGCCTTTCATGGATTATTAAAAAAAAATTACAGTCCAATGATTTGGATAAAAGCAACGGAAGAAAAATGTCAAAATAATGGCAATTATTGGCAAAATAATGGCAATTTGAAGGTAGGGGTCTCTGTGTGTAAATTTTATATATATATATATATATATGTGTGTGTGTGTGTGTGTGTGTGTGTAATTTTAAAAGGAGAAGGGCTTATTGGGCCCTTCCAGACTGGCTCTTTTTTTGCAGGTATATTTTGCAACATGTCATTGATGCAATAATAAAGTATTAGTGTTGGATTCATACTGGACTGTCCATGCAGTATTATAGCATTCTTGCCACCTGGAGGGCACTCTTGCACTGTGATGCAACAAAAATGGGATAAAAAACCAAAATCCAGAACATTTCTGGTATCAAAAGTCACTGGATTTCATTCAGATGTTACAGGGCATGCACTGATTGGTGACGAAGCAATATGACCACCCCAAAACTTGCAAGCAGAAACAGTATTAAAAGAGCACTGAAAAGGGCATGTGGAGTGGAACTGAGCCACAAAGAGACAGCTGCCAGTCCGTGTAGACAGTACTAAGCTAGGTGGACCAATGGTCCTACAGTATAGAACAGTTCCCATCTACCTACATAAAATGTAATCTCTCTGGGATTGATAGGCAATCTGGGTAGATAGCTGGAGTGTGAGCTGCAAATGGTTTAAAAACCCTGCATTTATTATACAATCAAAGGACTGTGTAGGATTGTGTCTCTTTCAAGATCAGATCCTATTCTACTCACCAATATGCTATTAATATGGTTTCAGAAGGCATGGCTAGTGTGATGTAGTTATTAGAATAGAATTAGGGAGACCTTGGTTCAAATCATCCATGCAGTTCACTGGGTTCATTTCAGCTGGCTGAGGATCCGTTGTTAAAGCTCAGTGTGCTTCACGAGTTGAACCTACGGAGTTAAAAGTTAAGCCGCACTGATTTTGCATCCTGAGAAACCGGATTTTATTCTAGGCACTTCTGTTCATTGCCCTGCATTTGTGTGAGGGTGGGTATATAATATGTAATCCATTTATTTATCTATATTTCCTGCATTTTGAGGTGTGGCTGTGGCAGCTGTCATGGTGAGCTCCTGCACTTCAAACTTTACCACTCCACCCACGTGCTTCTTTCCTCTGCCCCTCACCTCTCTTGTGCTGTCCATCACAGAGGTGTTCCTGATCTGCCCATCTTGGGTACTCATGAACCCTCTCGCTGTTCCTTCCTCTGTCTTTGCCTCTTGACCTCAAACCACAAGAGGAGACGTGTTCTTCTGGCATTGCAAAGGGAGTGCCAGTTTCAGCCGCTGCTGAGAATGCAGCACGCTGATTTCAGCCTTTCTTACTTCCTCCTCTTTTGGAGAAGTTTCAGTGCTTAACGGCTGCTGCTGCTAGTAGGAGTCTGCAGCCAGGGCATGTGTTGTCATAGGAACAAACCACATGCTTCCTTCTTGCACAGAAAAGGGACCTGGTCATAGCGCAGAAAACAGCTATTTTAACTGTTGTGCAGTCAAGAAACTACACGATATTTGCAGCTGGATTCATCGGCATTCTTCATTTAATTTTTTTAAAAGCTTGTGTTATGAGCTCCATCCAGGTATTTCCCCCTCATTCCTTGCTTTTCTTTCTGAACGCCATCTCTAGCCTGTCCTTAACTGAGGCAAAGCCCTATAATTTGCTGCATGGCATATTTGATTGATTTTGATTGTAGCGGAATTGATCAAGGCTGCAGTGGATTTCAGTTGGTGTGTTGCTCAGACGCTGTGTGTGGTGGGCTGTTCCTGTGTCAGCGTGCCGTGAAGGCATTTGTTCCGCAAAGGCGGCTCCTGGTGGGGTTTGCTGGGTCGCTGCTGGAGCTGTTGTTACTCAGAAGAGGATGAGGCTATGTGCGCTTAGCAGATTTTTCTGCTTAAATCAGTTCCAGACCTGTATATAGGTCAAAAACGTTTTGAATCCAGTTGCAATGATCAGCCCTATAAATCAGTTCAATGAGCAACACAGAAGAGAATCCCAGAATTGCGAGCTGCAGGCTTGGTGTATTGATCCCCTGTAGGTGGTCCCAGCAACCAGGTGTATCTGAAAACTGGAATAAGGTTTTCAGCCACCTTGAAACTAAATTCTTGGATTGAAGATATGCTGAAAGTGCAGGGGAATCTCGCCTGCTCAAAACTGACCAGTGTTCACAAGTTGCAATGGGTATTTTGAGGTTCCACTGATGGAAATGTGTAGAAACCATAATATGCCAAGTGCTATAAATCAGTGCCAGGTTCTGTTTCTGCATTAGTTGCTCTCTGTGATTCCAGTTGGATAGAGGAAGAGGGAAATGTGTTTGTGTGTATGTGCATGTGTGTATGCATTATATGCTTTATATGTGCTCAGATATGTTTTTCTCCTATATAATATTCTAGAGAGAGAGCTGCTGATTAGATTAGCTGATTTAGATGGCTGTGGATTTCTCTCTAGGTGGAAAAAAATATTGCTCACTGCCTCAGGACCTGGCCTAGATGCAGACTGTCAGCAGATGGTTGTATTTTATAACTTTTTTTGTTTGGTGCCCAAAGAACCAAGTGCGACTTGGTTTGGTTTATTTAAAAATAAATAAATAATACATATATTTTACAGTTGCTAATCACAGTATTAGATAAGTTCACAGGAGGCAGTAATATTAACGGTTGGAGGTAACTGACAGGGACTGGAGTGACACCTTGCGCTGTTTGTATACTTTCTGTGCAGAATATCGGGTTAGGAAATGCTGCACAAATAATATTTTGCTAGGTAGGCTCCTGTTGGTTTGACAGGACCAGCAGCATTCAGGCGCCAGCAGTCAGGCTGCTGTTCACATCTCTTTGTATAGAATTGACTGCAGTACAGCTGTTGCACGTCTGAATGCAACAGAATCTTAATTTTGAATACCAGAAAAACGTCATTGACACTTGTGCTTACAAAAGCATTTAGATGGCTGTACCTTTGCTCTTTATTGCAGCAGAAGCCCAGCTAAGGACTTAGGAGCCCCACCAGCCTCGTGCTTTTACACTCACTGGCGGCTTCCTCTTCCGAGGCCAGACGACCATGACTGAGAAAGACCCCGAGGTGCATGTGGAAGATGATGATGATGAGCTAGATAGCAAATTGAACTATAAGCCCCCACCTCAGAAGACGCTTCAGGAACTGCAGGAGCTGGACAAGGACGACGAGAGCCTTGCAAAGTACAAGAAGTCCCTGCTGGGGGATGGACCTGTTGTGGCAGGTATGGCTCAAGAGACCTCGGTGGGAACGGGATTGGTCCTATGGCATAGGCATTGGGAACCTTTTTCACTCCACAGGCCTGACCTCATGGGCCAAAATTGGTACTGGGAGGGGCTTCCCACATGGCAATCATGTGATGCCATTATGATGTCACATGATTGTCAAATTTGGTTTGCTCTGATCTTAAAAGGGTAATGGGTGGAGGCTTGCAAAAACCTTTGTGGATCTCAACACCCCCCCCCTTTGCTTTTAAGTCCTCAATCTTGCACTGTTATGGCTCTGATTTCTCATTATTTGATGAGTGGAGATTAAATCCTGCTGCCTAGGCTTCACCTTCCTGTTCCAGGATGATGCAGCTGGTGCAGGATTAAATCCTGTGCTCCCGCTCATCACTTGATGACAGCAGTTACATCAGCTGCTGGGCAGGTGGGTTGAGTTTGGGGCAAATGGCCAGCTGGGCCAAATTGGACTCCCCTGGCAGGCCGAGACTGGCCTGTGGGCTGAAGGTTCCCCAACCCTGATGTAGCAGGACACCTTTCAGAATAGGGAGAGAGCTGATTTGGCATTATGTAGCAGGACTAGCATTGTCATGGATGAGAGAATATGAATAAATCTTAAATGTAGGTAAAGAAATTATGTTGGTTTGCTATAAAAAATAATATTATTTTGTGTGGGTTGCTTACAGGAAGATTTGGGTTCTATTTTCAGCATCCAAATACATTCTCTCTTTGACTAGGGATACCTAGTTTTGAAGCTCAGACTTATGAGCACTTGCGACCAAAAGGATCTTACCTAGCGGTGCTGAGAGAAACTCCAGCTGTGTGCACACCATACATTTAAAGCACCGAGCTGGGGGGGGGGGGGAAGAATCCTGTGTTTTACCCTGTAGAGAGCTATGATTCCCAGCACCCTTAAACTACAGCTCCCAAGATTCCTTCTTTGGGGAAGTGGGATGTGCTTTAAATGAATAGTGTAAACACAGCTTTCTGCTCATGATCCTAGAGATCTGCTTCCAGTCAGGGTTAATAGCTCTAGGTGGGATCCTGCAGCACCTGCTTCACAGTGTATCAGCCCTTCCAATGCCACAGTTTTAGGAGGCATTCGGTACTTGCCTGTAACATGTACGCAGTGAAACCCAACTGAGTGAATTCATGCTTAGCTGCTCTCAGTTGGGGCCTTCACGAATGTGTGGTTGAACATATTGGGAGGGACTCGCAAGAATTATTTTGGGAAGTGGGGATGTGGGATTGTTCTCGTCGAGCAGAGAAGGGAGCCAGGTATGTGCTCAGTTGTTAGACTGCAATCCTAAGCATATCTACTAGTGGGGGGAGGAGAGGAACAGTTTGTACAATCGGCAGAATCAAATGGCAATGCTCAAGCGTGACTGTAGCACTTTTAAGCTGGCAGGAACAGGAATCGTGCGGTTATGCGATTGAATACGCTCTCATAAAAAGAAGAGCAGGAGGGTATTTCAGCATGCAGATAACACTTTGTGGCATGAAGTGTATAGCTTCATCACATGTTTCTAATCCTGGAATGCCTTTATCACCATTATTATTAGTATTCACTAAATTTATTAGGGTTTTTTTGCAGCAGCAACTCAAAGCAACTTACAACATTTAAAGCAAGCATATGCATTAAAACCAGCATTTTTAAAAAGTGATTTTGTCTGAGAATTTTGGGCAGCGCTGGACGCATGTTTGAGGGGACCCTGGGCAATGTGTTCTCTGTGAGGGGACCCTCCTCTGCTAGTGAGCCCCCCTGGTCTTACCTGGTTATGGTGGGGGCATACCAAGTCATGCTGGACAGCTGGGTCTCACAGTGCCCCAGAGCAATGCTATCCAAGGGGTGTTGTGATAAAGGAAGAGTAGCTAGATGTTGTTCGGAGCGCTAGGTTAAAAATTAAGGAAGGAATGGGGGGTGGGGGCACTAGCTGATGCCCAAGGCGCTTTTCTACAGAGTGACTGATGCTGTAGAAGTCTTTGAGCAACAAAGGCATAGGACCTTGTTTCCTTAACGCTGACTTACCTACCTTTCCTGTTCCCACAGACCCTACAGTTGCCAATGTGACCGTCACTCGACTCACCCTGGTTTGTAACAGTGCTCCAGGGCCAATTACCATGGACCTTACTGGTAGGTGAAATTCTCTTCCTTTCACAGCATAAGGCCAGTGCTTTTTTCCCCTAAAAAAATGTTTAGGGGTACTCTCATTTTCCTACTCATAGATTCATAAAATGTTTAGGGGTATGCGTAGCCCTGCGTCCCGCCAGAAAAAAAGCACCTGTTTTGTTTTGTTCTGTCCCCTAGGCCACATTCATCCTTTCCTAACCCTCCAGGGATCACACTGGTAGTTAGTGTGACCACCCCACACTTTCATATTCCTGCAGACACACTCACATGACATGCTGCTCCTCAGCTGATCTATGCAGATTATGCATTATTAGGTTGTTGCCCTCTTACCCCCATCAAACGATTGAGCTGATGGTTGGGGAGGGCTGACCAGTCATGGCACCCTTCCTCCCATTCAGTATCTTACTTAATTTTGTTTTCATTCTGTTGTCACTGCAAAAAGAAAATCCAGGTCTTGAGTGGGGGAGGGAGAGAAAAAAAATGGTTGAGGGCTGATACAACAAGGGACATCAGCTGGTTGACAGGTGGGTGTTGATTGCGGAAAACAGCTTCATGGGCTGAATTGGAAACCCTGGGGGGGGGGCAAGATTGGCCCACGGGGCAGAGGTTCCCCACCCTTGCTTAGTGAGTTTGCAGGTTAGGCGAGACTTGAACTGGGCACTCTGAGATCCCAGGTGCCTTATTCCTTTTGCACACATTACGTGTTGTTTTTTTAAAAAAAGCAAAAGAATTTGCGGGTGCTTAAAACAACAACAACAAAGCAACAGTAAAGTGACACATCTCTGTAAATGGGTCATAGAAACTTTTCCCAGAGTCCTGTGAAGTGTACACAGAATAGTTATTGCCAAGCCCTTTTTGCTGGCACAGACTAGAGCATCGGTCCTTTTTGCAGACTAAATCAGCAGTCTGCGTTTCTCTGAGCTTCACACCAGTGTGAGAGAGTCACGCTTCACCTTATATGGACTTCTTATCTGAGAGAGGAAGTTGGGGCTTGGCAGAGCTAGGATGCTTCCTCTTCAGCTGAAATCTCTGGGGAGGCAATACCACAAACAGTTTCTTGATTATCTCAACATTATGCAGCCTGTTTTGTGTGAGCACCTAGGCTCCTCTCACACCCACCTAGCAACAGCCTCACCCCTTATACAACCCTCTCAGTGTCAGTGGCTCTTTGCACAAGAGAATCTCCCAAGGAGTTGTGCCTGAAAACGTGCTCATATACATAAACACACAAGTACACAGGCACATTTATGGTTCAGGAATACATCCACAACCCTATTTGCAACCATAAAGTATAGGTATCGTAGGCATGTTAAGACTGTTATCTATGCAACATAAACAACTCGAATAGCAATTTTTTTTTGTTTAGGGAACCTCAACAACTGTCTGTGTAGGGGAACGTTCAAGATCTCAAACAAAGATGTCGCAGTGCCTCTTCAAACATCGCCCAGGATTCTTTGGAGAATGCTCTTTTAGTTTTAATGTATTTGTTTAAAACATGTATATGCCTTCATCAAACATACTCCAGTTTACCTTGTGTGAAATCGATCCATATTTGAAGGGCAGGTGTTTAAATGTCCACATGTACCACAGTCCTTCAACCTACTATAGTTAGAACAGTCTGTGGGTAAATGTGTTCTCTTGTATCTTGTCTTCTTCACAAGATTAACTGGGTGTCTCTTTTCTCTCCCTGACCCCTCTCAGGGGACCTTGAAGCTCTCAAGAAACAGACATTTGTAATAAAGGAAGGATCTGAATATTGCGCCAAGATCCACTTCAAAGTGAGTCACTCTTCTACTTGTGTTTTCTGTGGGTGTCTAGTGCTGGATTCTGCCCCCTGCTGATGCAAACCTGTGTATTGGGTTGTAGGTTCACATGTTTCAAACCCTGACAGTCTAAATAGTAAAAGCACTGCTAAATTAAAAGTGCATATTGTACAAACACAGCAGTAGGCTGTACCAGGCCAAAATGGCTTTCCACAGTGCAGGCTCTTGCATTCCTAAACCCCACTGCTGGGACTGGTAGTTTATTTAGTTTATATTGTTATTCTTTAATGTATTTTATTGGAATGGTAAATGTTGCAGATCAACCAGAATGGTGCTCCCCACCAGAAGAACAACATATAAATGTTTTAATAGTTGTCTTTTCAGAAAAGTTTTTTACAATGTTTACCACTTTCATAAAATCACCCTTTTTTCAAATCTCATTACTGTGATATTGTAGTACTTCACGGAGAATTTTACACTTGTGCAAAACTTGAAGGTGCACTTGGAGAAAGGCTTAAACTCAGTGCTTTTTTTCTGGGGGGACGCAAGGGTACGCATACCCCTAAACATTTTGTGACTCTAAGTTTGGCCTCATTGAGGGCAGTATTTCAATATGAGTAGGAAAATGAGAGTACCCCTAAACATTTTTTTTAAAGAAAAAAAGCACTGCTTAAACAGCCTATCCAAAAGCAGCAAATCAAGTGTGTGTTGGAGGGGGGGTTGGTTTGTGTGGTATCTGAAAAAAAAGTAATTGGTTAATTTATATGATGACATATAATTAAATTGCATTTGCAAACCCATTACTAAATGTGAGTGAGTTTATCTGAAAAAATTACACTAAATTTATCATTCTAAAATGTAATAAAAGCTATCAGTTTCTCAGCTTGATCCCTGCGCTGGCCTAGAGTAAACTTCTCATGTAAAGGAGTTTCATTATTGGCAAGCACCTCTTACAGCTGCTTATGAGGTGGCACTCTGAAATTGAGTAGGGTGGGCTTTATTCCTCCATGCCATCTCCCAACAGCCAAAAAGGGTGAGGGATGGCAAAACGTGGCACAAGCAAAGAGGAATCAAGGAGGGAAACATGGAATAAAACAGAGTCCTATTACTGAGGCAGAAGCTTGAATGATGATGCTTTTGTCTTGCAGGTAAATAGAGAAATTGTATCTGGCTTGAAATATGTGCAGCACACTTACCGGACAGGGGTGAAAGGTAAGTAAAAATGAGCTATTTTTCTACTTCCTTAGCAAAGCTTCTTCCCACCTCCCTGCATACTGTTCTCCTCTCCTGCTGCAGCTCACCTAATCCCACTCACTTTCCCATGTATTCCCCACCACTTTCCAAACTGCAAACATTCCATTTTTTTAAAAAGCTGAATTTGTTGTGTTAGGCCAACAGACAGCTTTGATCAAAATTAAATGCATAAAGGTAAAGTTTGGGTACGCCCTTGGACCCCTCCCACAAAATACTGCCAGTTTGGAGGCAACCTAGTTTATGGAAAGAGCATTAGAATCCTTTCTGGGCTATTTTCTGTGCATGGCTGCAGAGCAGCAGCAGTGTACACAGGACTGATGCAGCAGAGAAACTGCAGAGCTGAGCTGCTTGTGTGGCTGTGTTTGTGCCCTGCCTCTGATGACTTTCTTGCGGGCTGTTCTCTCCTAGTGGACAAAGTGACATTCATGGTGGGCAGCTATGGGCCACGGCCGGAGGAATACGAATTCATTACACCTCTCGAGGAGGCACCTAAAGGCATGATGGCTCGAGGAAACTACCGCAACAAGTCCTTCTTCACCGACGACGACAAGCACGACCATCTCACCTGGGAGTGGAACTTGGCCATTAAGAAGGAGTGGACAGAATGAGCTCCCCCTCGTTTCTCCTCCCCCTTTGCTTCCTCCTGCCTCTTGCACTGTTCTCCAGGTGTGCCAGTCTCTGGCTCCTGCATGCCACGCTTCCTCCAACACCCCCCACCTGGCCCTTTTACTGTCACAAGAAATTCTGTTTTAACACAGGCCTTGGGACAGACTCTGTCTCTCCTGCGCTGAAAAATAAACCACAAGGAATTAAAACTGGGACAAATCATCCTTTCTGCTTGCATAGGATCAGTCCTTGAAGTGCCTTTGCTAGGAAGACGCACAGATACTAACCCAACACAATTGCTATCTAGGTTGTCCCCATTTAAAGATCTACGGCCGTTAGCCTAGTTTCCTTGCAGTCTGTATTCACTGGAAACATACTTGCCTATGAGTGGATTCTATCTAATTTAAGCTTGTTTTTTGTGTGCGGAAAACTTGCCTTTGAGAGACCAGGAGACACAGTTCCTGCCCTGGCCTGTGAAAATGTCTGTGTCTTTGAAAATAAAGCCAGTTTTGTCCTTTGCTTCCGAGTGTCTCGTGTTTCATATAGTAAATGGATTTGTTCCATCCTTTGCACATGCAGAATGTCAAACATATTCAGATCTACAGTGAATTTTAAAAATAGATCTGAATACTTTCGTGGGTCGGTATTGTTTGACTTAGGTTTCTCCCTCCCTTTTACTGAAGCATATTTATTGAGTGCTTACACTCCGCAAGGTGCTGCATGGAACATAGATATGACCTAATCCTTGTCCAGAGGGCATGGTGTTTATGAGATACTGTTCTAAGAAGGGAAGACACCTGTCATCTATCTGCATCATCTCAGAAGAGGCATTCCTCCTCCCTCACGTGGAGGGGATGCATACCTCTCCTGAGATTAGGCAAGCAGTGTTTAAGAGCACATAAATAATGTCTTTTTCCTCAGAACTATTGTTTCATTCCTATACAATATTCATGCAGATTTAATCAAGTAAACACATTAAATTAAACTACTGAGATACCTTTAACTGAGCGAAGCTTGATTAAAAATGGTTTGGGGGCGAGCACTGACAACCCTAGAGTGCCTTGGTTGCATAATAAGTGGGAGACAAGGCTCTGATTATAATAAATAAGGTCTTTCTTTGTTATCTTCGCTGTGCCTAGACCACTATGAAAAAGGGAGTCCTATTGCCAACAAAATGAGGAACTAAACACTTGCAAAAAGAAACCTCCGGGAGCCTCCTGTCCCTGAAGTCTCTTATCTTGTGAACTAACAGATCTGAACATTTACAGGTGTTTCACTCCCACAGCTTTAGGTGTTGCCACATCAGATTCGGGGACAGATGGCAAGTCCCCTTTCCGATATCTGGCTCGAAGCAGAGCTCGTGGCAAGGAGAGAAACGAGGCAAGGCAATGAAAACCTCTCTCTTGCAGCAGTGGTTCCTTACGTCCCTTCTCAGTTGTGTCTTCGTGTTGGGATGTGCTGAGAAGGAGCCAGCACCCAAAGGTAAGGGAGGAATGGCTTGAATTCCAAAGAAGTGAGGCTGTGGGGATTGGCACATAGAGTAGGAGGGCTCATCCAGATGGAAGCAGCCATTCTAGCTGAGGAACTGCTGCTCCCAAGTGAGAATGTGGGAAGCGTTCTGAAGGCAGCCATGAAGGCTCATCGCTTTTGTCTGTGAAATCTGATAAAAACATTCAAGGAGGGTCGGGTACAGTGTGTTTGTGTGCATCCATATAGCTACGAAAAGAGGCTGGCTATACCTTCCTCCACTTCTTAGGTACCCCTGAAGATGCGAGAAAACCAGTACAGTTGGAGGATGTTGCAGCCGTGGCCGCATTTGTCAGTGCAGCTGAGGTGGTTGTCGTTGGATTCTTCCAGGTTTGTTGAGATGACTCTGTAGCTGTAGACTTAAACTTTCATGCTGGGCACTCTAGCACAACCTCCTTACAACCCTGTATTATGTGGAGAACCGTGTAAAAAATAGTTGCTCCAATCTATGGTTGTTAAAATTTTGTCAGCAAAAGTAGTTGGACTTTTGTGAGCAGTGACGATGTCATAGGAGGACAATATAACTCCTTAATGCTGTCTGGTTCAGGAAGGAGACTATGACTGTTGTGTGAGCACACAGTCCAAGTTCCAAAAGCATAAAGGTAAAGGTACCCTTGGCCGTTAGGTCCAGTCACGGACAACTCGATTTGCATGCTCATCTTGCTCTATAGGCCGAGGGAGCCGGCGTTTGTCCGCAGGCAGCCTCTGGGTCATATGGCCAGCATGACTAAGCCGCTTCTGGCAAACCAGAGCAGCGCACGGAAACGCTGTTTACCTTCCCACCAGAGCAGTACCTATCTATCTACTTGCACTTGACGTGCTTTTGAACTGCTGAGTGGGCAGGAGCTGGGATCAAACAACGGGAGTTCACCCCTGTTGCGAGGATTCGAACCGTGACCTTCCAATTGGCAAGCCCTAGGCTCTGTGGTTTAGACCACAGTGCCACCTGCACCCAAAAGCATATTGATCCCAAAATTATCTTGAGTACATAGTTTTCTCCCTCCTCAGTTTTCGGTGTGTTTTCTGAAGGTCATTTCTCACATTTATGGCCAGCATCAGTACTTGACATCCTCTGGCAGCTTCCAGGGCCCAAATGACCCAGTAAGGATCAATGTTTGTCATGGCTCCTCCTCACCTGGCAGCTACAAGCTACTACTACTATATTCCCCCCTCCCCCAACACTATAGAACACCTGATATATTGACACTGGAGCATTGTGGGAAATTAAAAATGGCAGTTGTCCGGTGCTAATGGGAGGAATGTCACTGCCAAATGGGCGGCGTTTCCTGTTTTGCCACAACAAGAAGTGCTGCCGCTGTTGCCCTGCACCACTTGTCCTGCTGCTTCTGCCACTGATTTCTGGTGGGATTGTGCCAATTTCCAGTGAGAGCTTGCTCTCCAAGCATTGCATGATCTCACTGGAAATTGGCGTGATTGCACTGGAAATCAGCACTGATGCCGGTGCTGCTTCTCTGCCAGAAGAGTCCCCGCAAAACAAACCACCACCAAGACTCAAATAAAATGTGTACGAATAGAAGGCTCCTTCAAATGGAGGACTGTTCTCTGTAAAGTAGGACAAACAACAATCCTAGCAATAGTTCAATGGACTTACTAAACATTGTGCTGTACTTCAACAGAACATTGCACTGCTATTGTTAAAAATATCACTGTCTCTATAAACACACTGTACAAATGTGAAGCCAAGTTTTCAAAGGCTTGGAATTTGGTTCGTCCAGCTAAAGCCCAGTTGATTAATCACTGAATACTCAAAAGTGCTTTCTTCCTCAGTTTGAACTTACCGATGTGTTCAGTCCACGCTTCTGCTTCCGCTCTAGAACCAGCTGCTCAACAATAATAATAAAATGATGAAGAGGCCTTTGTTTAATATGAGGTCTCTCTCTTCCACCCCTGTTATTTTCAACCCAACTTCTTTTCCCCAATTGAACCACATTAGCTGTAAACTTTGTTTCAATCTCAGTTTCGATCTCTGAGAATTTTAACTTGATTGAAAACAGTTTCAGGAAATAGACGTTTTAAAGGGCCAACTGTCACTGTTATTTGAGATGTAGAAAGGATGCAGAGCAAAATTATCTTAAAATATTTGGTAAGTTGTGCATTTCCAGTCTCTGAGCGCTACCTCGTTTTATACTGAGAGTCTGTCTAAAGATGCAAGGAGGGCTGGGACGGAATGGGTCAGAAAACAAACAGCTATGTATGGTTCACCAACACCTTGACATCCTTTTTTGATGGTGGCAGAGAGAGATATTTAATGTGTTTTAATGCCTAATCTTTAAGTACCCATGAAACAGTCTTAGAATCTCAATAAGTAGATAGAGATTGCTGTATTGGCTCCAAAGGACAGAAAAACAGGTGGTACCTCCCAGTGAGGAAGTGCTGTCATCTACAGTCTCAGGGCCTAAGGTTCAACAGAGCACAAAGGAAAGTCAAGCACTCTGCACTATTTAAGGAGCCTCATGACTTTAGTTGCATCTGGTTTATAATTGCAGCCATGGTAGCAGGAATGTATTGCTCATTCTCTTTTAAATACAACAGGTGATCAGTCTGGAAGGTCATCCAGAATATTCATTTATTGAGGGATGTCCAGTAATCCTTGTCATGGAATACTGACTCATGCAGAATAAGGGCCGCTAAAGAAACCTGTTTAGGAAAGTTTTTAATGTTTGAGGTTTTATTTTCTTTTTAGTGTTCTGTTGGGAGCCGCCCAGAGTGACTGGGGAAAGCCAGCCAGATGGGTGGGGTATATATAATAAAATTATTATTATTATTATTAACCTGCACAACTACAAGCAGCCGCTAGATGTCATCATCCTTCACTTAAATTGCAGTGGAAAGCCAAAGCCCTGAAGAAAATCAGAGGCAGAGATTTCTGCCTACAGAGCTGCTTTCTTAGTCTTTATTTAGTACATTTTCCTGCTCTATTTTTCTCCACACACCCCCATATCCTCCACCTTTCTCTTTTCCTCTCATTCTACCTCTTTAAGGGTACAGCTACACTATAGACTGAAATGACTTTGATAGTTTTATAGGGTGGTCTGGATGACTACTCATGGGTCCCCTCCAACTTGTGATCCTGTATTTATTAGCCTAGAATCTATAAGAAGAAACCTGCTGAACCAGCCAAAGAAGTTCCTTTGTTAAGGTAATGGCTTCAGCTGGCCAGTTAAGTACTTCCATTTGCATGTCCAAAGAGTGAGCTCTGTTGCCACACAGACTAATGGGCAAGACTTCCCATCTTATCTTGATGCCATCATCATAGGAAGGAGAACAATAAGTTGTCCCTCCCCCATTTTTTTTTCATTCTCTCTTCCCCTCTCCTTTTCAGGATCCAGAGCGACCAGAACTTTCAGAATTCCTTAAAATGGTACAAGATATGCAAGATGTACCGTTTGGGCTCTGCACCTCCTCTAATGTTCTTTCCCATTATAACATCACAACAAACACCATCTCCCTCTTC